GAAATTTGAGCTAGAAAGAACTCAAGAGTTCCCCCTGTCCTAGTGAATCTCCCCATCAGGACAAGGTTTGTAGCATGTGATTCCTGGCAGATGTTTGAGAAGGCTTCCATTGATGGACACTGCATGACTACCCAGAAATCTGCACTAATGCTGCCTCCACAGCCAGCACAAATTTGTCCTTACATCTAACCTGAACCCACTGCTTAAGTCCACCATGGACACTGCAGTCTGTTTAGTCTTCCTACATCTGCTTTGCATCCATACATGGCTTCTAAGTCCCTCCACTAAACTCACACCTTTTGCTGGTGATCTTTCCCATCTCCCAGAGAGCCAGCAAATCCAGTGACTGGAAGCTGGAACGTGATCCATTCAGATTAGAAACAGGACACAAATTCAAACCCAAGTAGTTTAACAACTGTGACAATTCGCCACAGGCTGTGCTGGCAGTCAGTGATGGGCAGTTCAAAATTAGGGTACCGGATGTTTTTAAGTGATGGCTGTGCTTCCAAAAGGAATTAATTCAGAAGCATCCTCTACTTAGTGTTTACCCTGTGCTATATTATTCTGTAATTGGTTGTTAGGTCAGGATTGCAACGTGGCAAGTTCCTCCTCCTTGCCTAATTAGTGTTTCTTCCTCATTGCTCAGTGCAGGACTTGGTTTTTTTCCCCCTGCAGATCTCCTTTTCCTGTGCACACCCTCTCACCACACAAACTTATTCCCTCTCCCCCAAAAACACTCCAGCCCTTTGCATGCAGAAGAGCTGCTGTTTGCTCGATCAGGCTGACACGAAGCTTCTAACAAAACGAGCTGTTCAGTCTGATGAGCTTGAGGCAGTCGAAGTGTTTCAAACTTGGCAGCCCAGCCAATTTGCCACTCAGACACTGTACATTTCCCTCCTGCCTGATGGGCAGCCCTGCAGTGACATGAGTCATTCTCCTTCCCCTCCTCTTAAACCAGGCACTTTGCTGGGGCCAAGCCAACACATGGTACTGCACAGAGGTGTGCCACGTGAAGACTTGGCTCCTGTGATGACAAATGCTCCCCTACGGCATGACAAGTCTGCTGTGCTACACCCCAGCCCCAGCACCTGCCTTATGTAGGGTCTGAGTTCCTCATAGCATGAGTCCTGTCTGTCTTCAGCTGCATGAAGTGCCTGTAAATCCGCAGGGTGAGAGCCAAAGCACAGCATCATCCTAGTCATTGTGCCAATCTCTTATCTCTCTAGCACCCTCAGCTAGGCTCAGCCAACCTCATCCTGTATCTTGGCCTTGAAAACATGGCTCGTTTCTCATCCCAGCCAGTGGTCCTGCTCTTGCAAAATCTGGTAACAAGGCCAGCAGAACCCAGCTCCCCATGTGAGACCACCCATGAATGTTGTACCAGGTCCTAGACAGAGCAGTACCAGAAACACTGGACAACATCAAACTGGAGTGGAAACAGGGACAAACTGGAAGGGTTTGCAGAAACCCTAAATTAAGCCAGACTGAGGTGTCTGGCATAATGCATTAGGGAAGATTAAAAGAGTTAATCTGCATAGCTTGGCTGAACAGCATAAGTCGACAGTGATAGCCTGACTCAGAGGAAAATGAGAAACTGTACCCTGGTACAGGGAACTAGCATTAGAGGTAATGAGGCGACACTGGTTTGGACAACCAGAGCTATTTGAGCAATTAGGAATGGGATGCTCTACCTGGTTCACCTATATCTAGACAGAGTTTTGCAGAGCAGGGGAGAAAGCTTGACCTTCCCTTGCTGCTTTCAGAGCAAACAGAGCAAGTATTTACTGGGTCTGCTCTGCCCTAGGCACCACTGCACGTCCCAGTGTCTTGCAAGGACATTATTTACCCCAGGTAGGACATAGAGGTCTTTGCAGATTCCTCCTTAGGATGGCTTCAGGTTGTGTGTGTGAAGCATTATGGTATATGTGGGTTCTTGCATTAAAGCTTGGCAACAGAGGTGCAAGGAGTGCAGTCTCTTGAGCACACGGCACTTCAGCTATTCCAAAGACCACACTCCTTCCAACTGCAGCTTGTGGCTTACCCAAACGGTACAAATCTTTGCTGGTCCTCAGAAGTGGGGGAATCTTATCAGATCAGCCTCTGATTTCCTGTGCTTCCACAGCACAAGCAAGTATGCAAAGAAGTAAGATGACATTTGGCTTCTTGCAGAGAACAGCAGATAATTCAGTGAGATTAAAGGACAGCCTCCTCTCTGCACGGCTGGGCTGGAACATAGCTCTGCTCGAACGATGCTGCTCGAGCGCCTCTCTGTGGATCTGAGCTCCTCTTCCTCTCTCTCACAGCCTTCTTAATCCTCCAGCTGATTGCTTTGTTTTACTTCTTAAAAATACAGAGCCAAATTGCTCCTATTATACCCAGGCAGCACCTCTGAGTTCACTGAACTTGGCACTGAGCTAAGAGTTCTCCCAGCCAGAGCTCTTACAGTCTCATATTTTGATGGTGATATATACATATATGTAAGACACCTCTCAAGGCCTTTCTATAGCTTCCAGCAGCAAAATAGCTCAGATTGGAACAGACCTACAGCTGCATAGGGCTCACAGAGTGACCGGGAATGAAAGCAAAGCTGGCAAGGGTATTGTCTATGGAATCAGCAATCAGGTGCCTGTGCTCCTCTCCAGAACATGCTGTGGAGCTCAGCACACAGCTCCATCACCAACACACATGTCAACACAATGATCATGCCAATTTTTCTGTATCCCTCGAAGAAGCAGGAAACAAATGGTCCCCTGCTGAAATCATGAGTTAAAACAAAGGCTCTTCATCAGCCTCCTGCAGCTGCTTGTTGTTTTCCTTTCTCCGTGGAGCCTGCCAGCTCCTGGTTATCTTGGCCAAGCACATGATTAGAGTTTTAGAGCAAATTCCAACTGCAAACAAACAAGCACATCTTGAGATGAATACACACAAACTGGTGGATGCACAGTATGTCTCTGTTCAGCAGATCCTGTCCTGCCTCTTCTGATGCTAGGCAAGTCCTGTTCCTCTTCTGGATGGAAAGCAGATGGGGTAGCATTAAGGGCACAGATCCCCAAGCCCTTTACACTTGCACAAATAGCAACAACTAGACCCAGTGGTGATTGAGGGGCCACATACTAGTTGTGCTGGCTTTCTGTAGCATGGGAAGCAATGTGGGAATAGGAATTCCTGCCCTGAGTAAACCCCTGTGGCTGGTTATGGCAGAAAGTCCATTGTTTCTAAAAGTACCATGAAACAAAATTATTAAGTTGTATGGCCACCATAGCAAGAAGAGAAGAAAGGATCAAGGATTGGTCCCTGTTCACTCCAGTGCTGAACCAGGTGGCTCAGTTTAAACAGGCATTGAAGGTGGTTCGAGCTAACCCGCTTGGCTCCGCACTGAAGCAGATGGCAAGTGCTCACACAACCCAGTATCAATACCCGTAACAATCAGATGAGCTGTGAAGCTTTAATCTGTGGCAGATGGAAAATGACAGCACAAAAGGTTTTATTATGGCCCACCGAGCCCTTTACAAAGGTAGCAAATAGGAAGGTTTAATTCAAATAGCTTGTCCTCCTCCAGAGTAAAGCCAGGCAGCCGAGACTGTGAAACGAGTGGAATGCTTCTCCCTTTTCCTGCCTCCTCAATGGACTAGCTGACTTTATTTCCAGGGGATGAGCTGAAACCGCTTATCAAAACTCAACCCAAAAACAAGACAACTTGCTATGAAAAACTGAAACAGCACCTTGGCATAGGAGCATCTACACAGCTCAGTCTGTGCTGAATCCCTGGCACTCTGCATTGATGCTCTGCTGAA